GAATTCTGCTCCTACACTAATCAAACACACCTGAACAAGCTAATCAGTGTCTTTAATCAAACACACCTGAACAAGCTAATCAGTGTCTTTAATCAAACACACCTGAACAAGCTAATCAGTGCATTCAAGGTCACCAGAAAGCTACAGACAGGTGTTTTTGATTAATGTTGGAGCAAAACTCTGCAGGACACTGGCCATCCAGGACTGAAGTTGCCCAAACCTGACCTAGATCATTTATTATTAACATGTAATAATGCACTCTAAAGCAGCTTGAGCAGGATATTCTGTTCTTACATGGTGTTTCCTGAATGAAACGATTGACAATAATAAATGGTTTTATTCTCATTTTAGATGTAAAGATCAAGCCAGCAGATGTGACGAGACCCACAGGGATCAGGAGTAAGTCATTATGTTTGTTTTCTCTGTCCTCAAAGGTTCACCCATAGCATGATAATATCCTGAATGAAGAACCACAGCTTGACCATTCTTACCTCAACAACAGTCAGGAACCTATGAGTGGTTTCTAGAACAAGATAGTCACTAGCCTAGTTTGTCGGCTAAAATGGGAAAGTGTCGGTTTAATCCGCTGTGGCCTAGGAATTCGATGTACGTTTGGGTCAAGCCTGTGCCAGGAAATGTCCACAACACCTGCTGCTGTTGGTGCCGGAAATCTTTTAAGCTAGCGGCAATGGGTGTTATGGCCCTGGACTACCATATGAGGGGTGTCAATCACACCACGTGTAGTACTGCTCGTCAGCGCCAACCACCTGTTGTGCAGTTCTGTGCACCGGAGACCTCTTCGGTCACTGAAACAGCTTTGGCGATCAGTGATGAAGGAATTTCTAGATTCAGTCCGGGAGGGCCACTGTTCTGCAGAGTTCTGCTCCAACACTAATCAAACACACCTGAACAAGCTAATCAGTGCGTTCTAGATCACCAGAAAGCTACAGGCAGGTGTGTTCAACTCTGCCGGACATTGGCCGTCCAGGACTCAAGTTGTCCAACCCTGACCTAGGTCATTTATTATTATTATTATTTAAAAGTAATAAAGTACTCTAAAGCAGCTTGAGCAAGATATTCTGTTATTAAATGGTGTTTCCTGAATGAAATGAGTGACAATAATAAATGGTTTTACTCTCATTATAGATGTAAAGATCGAGCCAGCAGATGTGACAAGACCCACAGGGATCAGGAGTAAGTCATTATGTTTGTTTTCTCTGCCCTCAAAGGTTCAGCCATTGCCTTATAATATTCCTATTGAACCACTGAAGGGATGTGGTCTGTTCTGAGGATGTTTAAGGACCTTAAACCAGTCTAGAATGTTGCTGAGTTTTGGATGATCAATGATGAGCCACACCTTCACCATTCTTCACTTCAAAAACAGTCAGGAGCCTAGGAGTGGTTCTTGATGACCAGCTGAAATTTACAGACCACATTGCCTGTTCATGTAGATCCATTCTGTTTAGCATCAGTAAGATCAGACTCTTCCTATCTGACCATGCTGCTTAACTACTAGTCCAAGCTCTTGTCCTGTTCAGGCTGGACTATTCCAATGGTCTTTTCCTTCCAACCAACACCATCAACCCTTTGGAGCTCATTCAGAATGCAGCATCAAGAGTTGTCTTTAATGAACTTGAAGAGTTTTTTCAACTTGAAGTCTTTTAAGAGCATGTCACAACTTTATTCATCAGTCTACACTAGCTGCCAATCACCTCTCGACTCAAATTCAAGGCCCTGCTACTCACCTACTAAACAACTGCTGCCTCTGCACCCATTTACTTGAGCCCACTACTTCAGGCTTATGTGCCTGGCAGGACCCTGCGCTTGGCTACCGAATGTCAGCTTGTGGTACCGTGCAGGTAAGTGTGCTTCATAAACCACATACAGGTGACACTCTTTTCCTCTCCATATGCACCACACACTTTCTTATGTACACCCTTCTTGAAAAAAATGAGCAATTCTTGGGCTTCACAAACCACCTGTAGGGGACACACTCTCTCTTTTCCGTATTCACACGACACTTTCGTATCAACACTCCATGTTCCTGTGTTAACATTGTGGAATTCTTAGTGTGCATTACACAAGTGAGTGGGATTGACAAGCCGCCTGTAGCTCAGACTCTCCTCTACATATGCACCACACATGTTCTTATAAGCATGCCTTACTTCTTGAAAATATTGTATAGTTGTTAGTGTGCTTCACGCAGGTGAGTGGGCTTCACAAACCATCTGTAGGACACACTCTCTCAAATTTACCATAAAAAACAAACTTACAATTGTCATAGTGTCTAGATATTGCTGTTTTTTGATTTTAAGTGCTTTTATCATAATTTGTTAGTCTCTTTGGATTAAAGCCTCTGCTAAATAATTAAATGGATGGAAAAGCCTGAGATTTACCCTAAAGCATCTTAATTTGTGTTTGAAGATGAACAGAGGTCTCAGGGGGTTGAAACATGAGGGTAATTAAGGGGAACTAACCCTCTAAGGAGACATTTCATTCTTGAATTCCTTGCAACATATTAAAATAAGGCTTGAAATCTTTCTATTTTTTCCCAGCCACCCCTCCCAACCAGTCTCTTGTAAATGTAATCTGCGCTGTCTTTCATCCTCTCTTGCCTCACACAAATACCTTCTGTTCCATGTTAAGCTCCTGCATAGATGAGATCTGTCCTCTCCCCACCAGGCCAATGAACACTACTTCCTTTACCCCTACCTCTCGTGTTTAGTGAAAACACTGGACAATGTTAAGGACAGCAGAAAGAACATGGCATAAATCTAAAGAGCCTGCTGACCTAAGCAGATATCAATCCCAACTTGCTTCATTTACCACCCAGCTTCATTCAGCCAAAACTTTATACTTGCATAACAAAATCAAAAGCACTTCAGACATTCAATATCCTGCTCTGTCCTCCACCGCCTCCATATCAGCTGATAATTTGACCTTTTTTCGCACACTAAACCTCTAAGATTAGCAGTCTGTTTCTCACCCTTCCTTTCTAGATCTTCCATCAAACAACAGAAAGTACACTCTTATCCTCCTCCCTCCATTCTTAAAGAGATCTCCTCACACATCCTGCAGGACATTTCCCCAGCCGTAGTGTCAGCCCTAACACACATCACTCTACATTGGAACATCCCCAACCACTATTAGGCAGGACCAAGTGACCACACTGCTCAAAATAAGATCTCTAAACACCTCAAGGGTTGAAAACTACAGACTAGTCTCTACTACATTTCATAGCCAAAGCACTAGATATTGTGGTTTTCGTGTACATTTCAAGGCAAGAATCTTGCACTGTATGGATGAAAGACAATCACCCACATCTTAATCTGGGTAAAAACCGAACTTTTGCCTTCCCTGCTACTCCAGATATTCAACATAACTTCTTCATCCAGCTGGGATAATCTACTTTTATCCCATCTAATTCAGTAAGGAATCTTGCAGGGATCCTGGATGATCAGCTGTCGAACACATCTCGATCATGCAGGCTTCCACTTTTCAACATCAGAAAAATTAGACCCTTCCTAACAGCTCATGCTGCACAACTTCTGGTCCAAGCTCTTGTCATTTCAAGGCTGGACTACTGCAATGTGCTTCTAGCTGGACTTCCATCCTGCACCCTTAAACCTCTACAGATGATCCAGAACGCTGCAGGTCATCTGGTCTTCAATGAGCCCTAGAGACTCACCCTAGAGAAACACCTCTCTCGATCTCTCTGCATTGGTTACCGGTCGAAGCTCGGATCAAGTTCAAATCATTGATGCTTGATTATAGGACAGTCACTGCTTCCTCTTACCTCCACCTGCTTCTGAAGGTCTACATCCCCTACAGGAGGCTTGTCTTGTCTTGTGGTACCATCACATAGAGGATCTAGGTCACTTTCCAAGACCTTAACATTCACTGTTCTTCACTGGTGGAATGATCTCCATATTCAAATGGCACCTGAAAACTCTTCTGCGAGCACTTAAATACTTCATAAAGAAACTCCCTGTCCTTACCTTAGCTTTTATTTCTCTGAGCATGATCAGTACTTTGTATAAGTAGCACTTCTTGTGTGTATTGCCTCTTCATGCTGAATCACTGAATGCCTCCTCGTTTGTCTGCTAAATAATGTAAATGTTGAACTGTTTTGGACAGAACACTTTTTTTTTTTAGATAAGGACTATTTGAAACCCCATGTGACCTGCTGTTTATCAAAAGGAAGAACTTCAGGAAAGCTGATGTTGTTTCCCTTTTATTTCTCCATCATCAGATGCTGAAATCTACATTATCGGGGACAGCTGCGTTCGCTATGGGGAGAAGCGTGCGAGGGAGACCGTCGGGGTCAACCTGGGTCTGAATGCCCGTGTCCAGTGGTTTGGCTTCGATGGTTTGGTGTGGAAAAACCTCCTGCCCTGCTTCCGGCAGTGTCTGAGAACGAGAGCGGTGCCGGATGTGCTGCTCATCCACTGTGGTGGGAATGATCTCGGGATCTTTAAGAGTGTGAAGCTGTGTGCAGCGATAACACAAGATTTGCGGGAGCTCCACAGAAGTTTCCCTCAGATGAAGATGGTCTTCTCCACCATCACTCAGAGACACAAGTGGGGGTCGCTCCATCCTAAAAAAATAGACAGGGCCCGCCGCTTCATTAACAGTATGATGGCTAAGAGTGTTTCGTCTGTCGGTGGCAGCATTGTGCAACATCCCCAGATAAATTATCGTGATCCTGACCTTTTTCACTGTGATGGAATTAATTTCAGTAATCGGGGAAATGATATATTTCTGAAAAACATCACTCGGTGTCTGAAATTCCACATGAACTAATGTGATGATGGACTTTGGATCAACACTTCTAGGATTGTTGTTGTAGGATTGTGTCTAGGACACTTCTATGCTTTGTTTGGTGAGTTTTTTTTTGGTGAATGTAGTCCTGGTGGGCTGGTGTCCTGCATAGTTTAGTTCCTACTTCCTTCAACACACCTGCCTGCAAGTTTCTAATATAGCTTGATCAGCTGCTTCAGGTGTGTCTAAATAGGGTTGGAACTAAACCTTGCAGGGTACCGGCCCTCCAGGACAGAGTTTGGACACCCCTGATGTAGAGGTTTGTTTTGGTTCAAGACAACTGTTAACAGTGCTGTATGTGTTTTTGACTCTTCTATAGCACAAAGTACCTTAACATAAATATGTTCTGATCTTTAATGCAAACTGAACATAAGTGTTCGTCTGAAAAACATTATTAAAGTCAGGTATTCTCCTTTGAACATGTGCGTCTTTGGTTTGATCTCTGTAACTCCGCCCACTGCCAGTTTACCCAATTATATTTCAGCATCCCGGGTTGCCTTGTCGGAAAACAACGTATTTCATTTCAGTCATGTCTCTATGCAGTCTAAACACTAGCAGTCTCCGGAATTAGATGCTTTCAGATTCATAAAAGTCCACACAGTGGTTTAACTTCGTAAATAATACAAATATTAGAAACATAAACACTTACTGAGCAGCTCACAGTGTAAGGCTCTATTCAGGCACGCTAACTCGGTTTGACACACATCTGGCAACCTGTGTGTTTTGAGGAGGGGCTGGGTGAATTTCGTATATATATATATATATATATATATATATATATATATATATATATATATATATATATATATATATATATATATATAATTATTATTATTTTTTTTTTAATGTGGACTGCAGTACCTAGTTCAACCACTAGTAAATCCAACATAGTGCATCTTTGATTCCTCGGCTTAGTTTTGATTTAGTGAATTAAAATAAAATCTTATTTACACTATGTAGACTGAAAACACTCTTTGTTCTGACTGGTGTATTTTCATTTCTGTCCACATTTTGAAGCCTGAAATGCATGAAACATGACCATTCACACTCGCATACTGTGTCTTCATCTGTACTTTCCATCTACTGATTGTGTATTGTACAAATGAGAGTAGCTAGATGAATCAGGGAAAGATACGCAATAGTCCAGAAGAGCAGTCAGAGATTGTGGAAAGCTGTACCTCCATTTACAAAAGTCAGCTTTTAGCCCATCTAATCTAAACTAACATGCTAATTTTTTAGGAGTATGCGTGGCAGGTGTAACTAAACTTACACATAAGTCTGCATAAATCTAAGTTGCTTAGATTTCAGTACATTGATGTACTCCCAACCGAAACTGAATATTAAGTAGGGGGCGGGGCATTTTGCGCATCTTTTTTTTGTAGTGGCAAAATAATGTTCAGAGGGGCGTGAAGCGTGAAGGTGAAGCGCCAAACTGACCACAGCTTTTTCAGATGGATTCATTTGCACATATTAATTGTCTGACTGCTTTTCGAAGTAGTTTAATATAAAGAAGCCAAGTGTTCATGTTTATTGCATCTATTTTTATTTGATGAGCATGAGTGAAGCATGAAGTTTTTTTTATGTACTTCAGGAACAGACACGCAGTCAAAATCATCAGGAGAAAACATGACGGAAATAGAAAAGACTCTGAACGGCTCAGAAAGAGAGATTAGTTACAAGCATGAACTATTCACCAACATTTACAATAAGACATGTCATTTTCATCCACTTATCTGGGGCCGGGTCGTAGCTGCAGCAGTCATAGAAGAGAACCCCAAACTTTCCTCTTCCCAGACACTTCCTCCAGCTCCTCCTGGGGGATCCCGAGGCATTCCCAGGCCCACCGAGAGACATAGTCCCTCCAGCCTTCCCCTAGGCCTCCTCTTGGTGGGACATGCCTGGAACACCTCCCTAGGTAGGCCTCCTGGAGGCATCGAAACAGATGCCTGAGCCACCTCAGCTGACTTCTCTCGATGTGGAGGAGCAGCGGCTCTACTCTGAGCTCCTCCCAGGTGACAAAGCTCCTCACCCTGCTTAGCCTGAAGAAGCGACGTGGGACCATCCTCCTGCGGGCCCACCACCATCAGGGTGAGTCGTAAGGGGCCGGTGCATTGTGGAATGGGTGGTATTGAAGGTTAGGACCACGACAACCTGATGGTCGGACACAGAAACTGGCTCTTGGTTTGTGATTTTTTAGTCTTAAGATTCAACTATGCGGAGTTAAGTTTGAGCATTGCATGCATCTCAGCTTGCAACCCCACAACCATGTGGCTGCTAGGGCCCTGCCACCACTGGGTGGCCCCCCTGTGGCTTAGACCAAATGTGAATTTCTGCAGATTTTGTATGACTAAAATGTTTGAAGATGAAACTAAAGGGACAGTTGTTGCTTAATGTATTTGTTGTTTCATAGTTGGGTAAGGGTTTAGTTGATCACTCGAGGCAGAAGTATAAATCAGCCTTAATGCTTATTGTATGAGACTTCTTTTTTTATTTTTTTACAAAGGTTTACACGTAGCTTTGTTGTATACTTCATACTTTTTGTATTCTAAATACATATCTTTGTATTTTAATATAGATAATTTATATAAAAAAAGAGCTACAGACTTTGACTACATTTATTTATTTAGATTAACATAAAAACAAAACACATCTTTGTAAAACATAATATAACTCGTTGCAAATAAATCATTAGGATGTGCATGTGCTGTATATGATTCCTCTCTTTATTTAAAGTCCTGTTTGTTGTTTTCACTTTTTTGTATGTTTTGGTGAATTTTGTAGATTGTAATTCTCATGCAGCGTTATTCCATAAAAGTCAATCCAATAAAATATACAGACATGCATACATATGCACACATGCAAAGGTAATCAGACTTTGCCATCGTTGCCTCGTCATTGTGTGGTTTCATCTTAGAAAAGAGGTGAATGGAGTAAACAAACACACCCACACACACGGGAAGTGTCCTACTTCTAATGTCTATTTTTAGTCCTGCTCAGCCGCCTGCTCTCGTCCCCATTACAGGCAAGGCAGGGCGGATCTCAAACGAGCCTCTTCAGCCGTTAGACTGAAGCTCCGCGAGATTAGCAGGCAGTGAAAGCAGTCGTTTCGTTTCTGAATGAATCTGGGATTTTCCAAAAAAATCTACATTGAGCTCCATGAAGCCCCGATGTTACTCTCTCCAGCAGACCTACAGCAGGTGGCGGTGTGCAGATTCACTCTGCTCTCTAACTCAACACACAACCAGAAGAAGAAGAGATATGTGGCGTATTTACTGTCTGCCCCGTGTCCAGCGATTATACTCAAGGTAAAACCACTTAAATACGCCCCTGCATGTCTTTTGATTAAATGTAAACCCCTGCATGTGCTTTGGGATCCTGTATGTCTGTATCTGCTCTGTTTAGAGTGTTTGTGGCGGATGTTTTTCACGAGCTTTTAACTCGTGACGCAGCTGAGCTGAAATCTGTAATCAGAGTCGCTGTGCAGTGAATTAAAGTTCTCCTGTAAACATGTTTGCTCAATCTCAGCAATAAAACATAATTTACAGCACCTCTCGACGAGGATCGCTTGATTTCAGTGTCTGCGCGTTCACGATTGCGTGCGTGAGCGACCAACTCGTTCCCGAGTGAATATTTTACTGAACAGCGCCCCCTGGTCACAACACCGCCCTTCATAAACGAAAGTGAAAGTGCTTCATTGTTGTGTCGGCATTTTAAACAGACAGAATCCATCATTTACCAACGCAGAACAACTTTAAATCTTTAATGTTTTCACAAAACCTGAAAAGTTTATGTGAATCTGTATATATATATATATATATATATATATATATATATATATATATATATATATATATATATATATCATAATCAAACTAATATTTATTTTTTATTATGTTTTCAACAACATATACATGACAATATAGTAAACAAAACAATGCCAGGGTGATAGAAAGTAAATGATAACAACAATACGTAAAATAAAATAAAACAAACATAAGAATAAGAGTATAAATACTTAACTAAACTTCTTACAGATATAAATAAGCAAGACCTTTACATTAATCAAAATTATTGAAACTAGAGCACAGTTGGACAGTTTTAACGGCCTTTCGATTAGCGCTATGCTGAATAGTGCAAAAGTAATTTTTCAGTTCCTTATAAAACACAGTAAAACAAGGTTTATTGTTGGAAAATTTACACTTATGAATATGAAACTTAATTAACAAAATAAATTGGTTAATAACAAAAGCTTCATTATTCAAATTATCATAATTAAAATATCCAAAAATTACATTTTCATAATGCAGATTAAAGTTAAAGAGTACCCTTTTCTTTATAAAAACAGAAGCAAGCTTTTTTTAACATAACCACAGTGCCAGAAAAGGTGGGGTACAGTTTCCAAAGGCAAAGAACAAAAAGAGCAATTTATATCAATATCCTTTTTAAATTTACTTAGGAAATGTTTAACCGGATAGAATTTATTAATTAGTTTAAAAGATATTTATTTTATCTTATTTGTAACCAAAAATTTGTGAGGCACTGACCAAATACTTTCACATTTAGGAATTATTAAAAAATTATTCCAATAGGTAGTAGAGCAAGGTTTAGATACAACTTGATTTACAAATAGAGAGCGAATAGATTTATTTTTAGACTATGAGAAATAAATTTTACCACATACTGTATCAACTAGATTGATTATGGGCTTATGAATCCAAGTTACACCTCTAAATAAGGAAACAATATTAATCAAATGAATAATGACTACGGTTTTTCTTTTGTTTACTCGTGAGGAACTTCAGATTTCGTTTTGCAGCTGCTGATCTATTCCTGCTGAATGATGAAGGCTGATCAATGACTGCACATCTGTGATTGTTTCTCAGTGTCTGCTAGAGTTTCTGCTGGACATCACACTCTACACATCCAACATGGAGGACACACACTCTTCTGGAGATCAGGATTTGTCTACAGGATGCAGGTATTAGATCGACACATTGCATTTACATGTTATTTTGGGTTTTAATCTCTGTCAGATAATTTAACACACACATCCAGAAAGTGATCATCAATTGTTGTTTAAAGAGTGTTTTAAATAATGAATTGTTGAATGAAGCTTGTGTGTTGAGTCCAGTGTGTGCAGTGCTAAACTTTAATCTTCTCTGTTTTAGTCCACGTAAGAGAAAGAGAGAAGAAGCAGAGCCCAGCTGTGTGTCTATGAGGAGTGACCAGTCTATGGGGGAACCATTAACATTTAAGACTGAAAACACACAACCTGTTGTCAGGTAGATCATGACCCTGCTCTTTCTGTGCCAGTGCTTTCATGTGTCGAGAATTTAGCAATTTATTTAGTTTTACTTTTAGAGGGGATTTCCTTTATTATAGTTTCTTCAGATCAAAGTTTTATTTATGTGGTGAGCCA